TTCACGGCAGCGAAGACTAATCGGATGTTGGTGGTATCGGTAGCTTGAGTAAGGCTGTGCGGGAATAGTCAGAGATCATGGAGCTGCAGTCTCGGCGACAAGGCGGACTTACTGAGGGTAGAGATTCAAATGCGCCCGATTGACTTGATTGAATCTCCACAGAAGATACTTGGCGGCGCGATTTACATCATTGCCGCCCGAGTAATCGGGGAAGTAATTGTTCAACGGCGACCGAGGGAGTTTTTGTCGGAAAAGGTCGACCTTATTTAGAAAAAGGATGATACTCGTTCGCATGAACCATCGAGAGTTGACAACAGAGTCGAACAGCACCAAGCTTTCCATCATCCGATTCTTGCAGCCAGTTAGATGCTGTATCCACTAACAGTGAGCATCAAGAGACATACCTGATTGCTTTCCTCTAATAGAACTTGGTCATATTCGCTAAGCGCCACACAGAAGATGATGGATGTGACATTTTCGAAACAGTGAATCCACTTCTTGCGCTCACTGCGCTGGCCGCCCACGTCGAACATGCTAGACACCAGGTAAGCATCATAGAAGACGCAGTGATCAAATTGGAATAACAGAGGCACATACTGTATGCTTAGTTGGCCCATCGTAAAGCGAGTCTCATAGATACCGGTAGTCTTTGTTCGCGCGCGAAGCACATCATTTACACTGGGGATGTAATCTGGAGCTGATATTCGTTTGGCTTCCTCGAAAAAACTAGTTCCTTCTCGTCAGTGTGCATGCCGCGCGCGGTGAGATAGAGGGCGGGCACTCTTACTAGGGCGCGGAATCCATCAGGTAAAATTCGTTCTGGTGCTCTAAGACCGTCGACGTGCAGGGGTCATTCCAGAGGTAAGTGATCGCATCCCCAACCTTACTGTCGAGCGGCACGTTGGGATCGGGGTTGATATTGTATTCGAAGATGTACTGGATATAATCGCGAACTTTTTGACTCGATGGTTCCAGAGAGAACTGGTGATAAGCGGCGATGAGCGATTTGGCGCAATCAAGGAGGTTCTTGTATACGGTCAGACGATATAATGACAACTCTTCGACCGTGTAGCCATTCTGATGGATGATCTTCATCTGCTTGACAATTGTCGACTTCCCGCTTTCTCCGGAGCCTAGACAAGACACATCCTGTTAGCGCAGGCCTCCATAGTCTCACCGTTCAGACAAGGGGCACGAAACCGACCGAGTAGTAAGATCTTGCATTCTCGCCGTAGTCGTCTCGAATCTTCTTCCAATTTGCGATCGATAGCCTGGCTCCTCCGCTTCTGTTCAACATCTCCGGTCGCCTCGGAGCTCATACACGAACCCATTTTCTCGTATAATTCCCAGACAGCGGAGAACTAGCCCATTAGCTGCCTGCGGAAGCGTGCGGCATCCACCTATCAGACCGCTGACACCTGAAACCCCCGGGAGATGCGGTTCTCGAACAGTAGGTCGAACTAGGTCTGAGACCGGTCGAATCGTAGGACGACTGGGGAAATTGGCGCGATCGAAAGACAATGGAGAGGTCTCGTAGGTTTGCGATCGTCGAAGAAGGCTCGACTAGGGATCAAGGCTTGCGCGCGGAACGGTGTAAGGCAAAGCCACACCGGACAGGTTCGGTTTTTGGAACAACAACGAGGGCCTGAGCGACGTCTGCAAGCTTCGGAAACCGCAAGTGGTGTGAACCGTGATATGGGAGGTTGAGAGGAGAGGTGAGGAGAAAGGCGAAGGCGAAGGAAACTAGGGAGGTGAGTCGGTTGAGGAGGAGGATGGTTGGATAAAGAGCAGGGTCGGTTGCGTGGTAGATACGTTGTAGCTCTCGCGGCGTCTGAGCTGAGAGGAAAAGCTGGGGTGAGGGGCGTGTCAGAGTTCCCAGTGCGGAGCAGCAAAACGAACGAGAATGACGACCTGACGCTAAAAAAGGGTAGTCAAGGTCGATCGGGAGTTGATGTGGGAAAGTGGATGGAGGCGCGCGGATCTCGAGTGAGATAATGTAAGCAAGCAACGAGGATCTGCTGTGGTCGGTCGGCAAATGGTCGATCGGGGGGTGGTGTTGGAGGGGAAAGGGATGGAGGGATGGAGGGATTGAAGTGGTGGTAAGGTAGGTAAGTAGGTAAGATTTGTAGATTGATTGATTGATCTATTAATGGTTCATGATTAATGGTTCATATGTTTGGGGAAGAAGGGGGAGGGTGGTGTGGAAAGAGAGGAAATGACAGCTCGTGGGTGTTTCAGAGGAAAGGCGGGTAAGTTTGTTAAGTTAGTTAACTTAGTTGGTAGTCGATTAGTTTAGTGAGTGTAGGGAATGACTGTAGTGAGACGGATGGATGTTGGATGTTGGATGGGAATTGGAGGAGTGGATATCCCCAATCGTCATAGCACTCGTTTTCACCTTACCCAGTGTTCAAAAGTCCGTTAGGTTAGTTCGTTAGTTAACTTAAGGTCGACAGGTGGAAGTGGAGATTTGAGGAGACCGAGGGAAGGGAAAGATTACATACACTCGTTCGATCGTAGGGGTGACGAGTGGGTATTCGTTGGTAAAAAAACGTGGACCGCCCACTCTCGACTTGCCCGGAGACTGGTAGACTACTAGTAAGTTACCTACGTCTTTAGTCTAACCAACTGGACGGAGTGCTGGACTTACCCTACTAGTGTCTAGTTCGATCGGGGACCAGATGACCAGATGCGCCGACAACAAAGGGTCTTGACTGCCAAGCTGGATTCATTGATTTGTCCTTCTCTCCAATTTCAAACTACGGAGTACGAGGTGCTCAATTATCTACAATACTCTGTGCTTAGCTCCAGTGTCGCTGAGACAGACCACTGCAGTACCAGCCAGCCAAGCCCTTCTTAGAGACTGGGACGGAAAATACTCCCCCGACAGGTTCCGCTAGTCACTTGCATACTAAACTTACTGCTTGCTACCTTTCATATTTACCTAGGTACTCCGTGCAGTACAGCACCATATTTGAAAGTTTCACAGTTGTCCTCATGAACAACTTGCCAGACCCGTGGTAGGAGGCATTGACGGCGGCGGTGCTATAAGCAAAGTCGCGTACGGAATGTCCCTCCTCCTCGACGGAGTATTCATTCCGGACTACTAGACATGTACGGAACACAGAGCCACACGGGAGAAGATCCCATGGACTGATATTCTTTGGACCTCTGTCTGTCATGGTGTTAAGCTGTCGGAATCATAATTGCCAGAGGCTGATTCGAGGTCACACTAACTTAAGCAGTAGCTGAGGTAAGTTAGGGATACCAGCTTTCCCCAACAATGACTCCGAAGGCTGCACCACTCCCCATTGACCGGATTATTGATTCTGACTATGCACATTGATGTTTCGGAGAGTCTGGTATTTCGGATGGACTTCATGGTATTAGGCTTGAGACTGGGTGCCTTATCCAAATCTATATATTATCAAGCCCGGGGTGCAATCGGGTCGGAGTTCCAGAGTTAGACTACAGGGCGTCTATTGACATGGGTTCTTGGCTTGTCATTGTTCTCCCCCCCTCATCATTCGCTACTCTCGTTGCTGATGGTCCGTGAGAAACAAAGGCACATGGCTATGAGTGGGCTCGGGAAACATGCGGCGTTCGCAAGTTCAAGACAGGTTCTTCCACCCTGCACTTTTCAAGTACGAAGAAGACTACCATTTGCTGGGTTCAAATTGCTCTGAACTTATTGGTACTAGGTATATATTGATGTCCAGCTACCTCGGTAGCAGTGTTCGAGCTGTAATGCCTCACCTTGAACACAATCTATTGGATTGGAACCTCAAGCACTGAACACCATACTTCTTCAACCTCACTATAGGTTGATCATTTCCGGTCATTCCCCATCTACTGTTCTCATCTTTCGACAGTACCTAGATAGGCATGTCGTACCCAAGGCGGATCAGGCACGCTTTACTATGTAACCCAAACCCGAGTCGTGGCACGAATAAATCAATGACGGGGAGTCTGGATATAAGGGTGACCTACTCCAGGAAAATATAAAATCAACAGAGTCTCGGGTAAACCAGGAAGAATCTTCCAAACGAAAGTCGCCCTCTTGATGGACAGTACATAAGCGCTTGGACCCAACGAGGGGCGGGCGGCCTTTACCGACAACCGCAACATGTTGTCTCGACCTGGTGGAGTCAAGAATTGAGACAGTCCAGATAGTTAATCGATTTAGATAATTCTTAAATCTGGGGGAAGGGGGGAAGGGAGCCCCGGAGCCCCAGTCCCTGAAGGCTACATACAGGACTAGTAGATGTAATATAGGTTATACTCAGTAGATAAGAATAAGGATATAGCTAGAAAAGGGGATCTGAGATCGATTGCCAGAGGGGAGACAGAAAAGGCAGACTTGAGAAGGCGGTAAGAAATATAGATCTAGAGGGGGACAGCGGGAAAAAAGATGGAGCGGGATGGGTTTTGACGCGCGAAGGAAATGGAAGTGATTGGAACCGTCACCTTGCAGACCCACCAAGGTATGATGACATCGTCCAGCAAAGGTCGAAACATTACGTAGTGAAAAGCCAGCCAGCCAGCCTAGTCCAGCCCGAAGTCCATGCTTCGACCTGGCTGGCCATTCTATTATGTGCGCATCTGGATTTCTCCCATAATCGGCCGATATATCGATGTGATTCTGGTTCTGGTTCCCAGACCGGTGCCGCCACAAATTTCGAATTGCCAATATAGATGTGTTATCCAGGATCTTGAAATGATCCTCATTGTTATTGTGGTTATGGTCTCGGTTGTCATGGTCACTGTCGTAGATGCGGTTGTGGGGGTAGTATAGAAATCAATGTTGCAATCTGAATGTATGTACCGTCCTGAAGTCATCGACTGGGTTCTTCAGGTACCACGCATGAAAGCCAGAGTTCCTCTGAGGGAAAAAGTATCCCTGCGTCTCCGTAGTCCTCCTCAACGGGCCAGTGAATTATGCTAGACGGTTAGGTAAGCGTAGTAAGAGAACAGCATCATCTGGAGGGGCGTCCACTTCCGGCCAATAGATTCCGACGAAAAAAGGGTTCTAGACAAGAAAAATCTGGGATCAAGCCAGCCAGGTGGTGGGAGGAAAGGAGAAGAGGAATAACTAGGGGAAACGAAATCACACCAACCCAAAGTTCTGGCTTAAGGCTGCGGTGTGTGTGTGTGTGTGTGTTGATTATGGCGGCGGCAGTTTTTCTGCCATACCCTGCTTCGTTCGCGGACGTCATCGGTCTTGTTTTGGGCGTTCCGGAAACTCGAACTCAACGGACTAGGAAGAAGAATGGTCTTTTCCCCACACACCCTGCTGGGGCGCCACCTACGGCTTTTGCTGCCTCGCTACTCACTCACTCACTCACCATCTCATTCTTGTTCTTGCTTTCTCTTTTCTCCCCCTCTCTCCAACTTTGGTGCGCTCGATATCTTAACTTAGATATTCCTCTCTGCGCCCGCAGGACCTGGTCTTCTTCTTTCTCCAGACATCATTTCCTCCCTCTCACTCTTACTCCTCCTCCATTTCTCTCTCCCCCTCACTCTCGCTCTCCCCCCCTTCACATCCTCGCTACCTTATCCACCGCCCCCGAGAATCTCCGTTCCAAAATACAAACCCTCATATTTCCTCCCTTTCTGCATTGAACTGAACCTGGTGTGCCATCCATCCTTGATTCAAAATGGCGGAATTCGTGCGTGCCCAGATTTTTGGCACCACTTTTGAGATCACCAGCCGGTATGACGGACTGAGCCCAAATTACCCCTCCAAGCGTGTCGGGATGACTTCTAACTTCGGACTTTAGGTACACCGACTTGCAGCCGGTGGGAATGGGCGCTTTCGGTCTTGTCTGGTATGGCTATTAACAGCGTCCCCGTTTCTTGCTTTTTGATCGCGACGCCAGGTTTCTGCAGGTCAACCAACCGAGCATTTTACTGACATGCGCCCCTTTGGGTTCAACCAGTTCGGCGCGGGATCAATTGACCGGGCAACCAGTCGCCGTCAAGAAAATCATGAAGCCATTCAGCACACCCGTCCTGTCCAAGAGAACATACCGCGAATTAAAACTGCTGAAACACCTGCGACACGAAAATGTTGGTCTATGCCGCTTGACGGCGATTCGCCGCCCCGCCGTGCTCCCAAGGCTGACAATTTGCAGATCATCAGTCTGAGCGATATCTTTATCTCCCCGCTTGAGGATATGTACGCTCGTCATCATTCCCTGCGACAAGTTTAACTCTAACATGGTAACCGCAGTTATTTCGTCACAGAGCTGCTGGGCACCGATCTCCACAGATTGTTAACTTCGCGACCTCTTGAAAAACAATTTATTCAATATTTCCTTTACCAGATTCTGGTATGTGGTCGACACCGATCCTATCATCTCGTCTCCCAGACGCTTTCTCGTGACGGTCACTAACGGTCTATAGCGGGGGTTGAAATATGTCCACTCGGCCGGTGTCGTTCATCGTGACCTCAAACCCAGCAACATCCTTATCAACGAGAACTGCGACCTGAAAATCTGCGATTTCGGTCTTGCCCGTATCCAGGATCCGCAGATGACCGGCTATGTTTCGACCCGGTATTACCGTGCGCCTGAGATCATGCTCACTTGGCAGAAGTACGACGTGGAGGTGGATATTTGGAGCGCAGCATGTATTTTTGCGGAGATGCTGGAAGGAAAGCCCCTGTTTCCCGGAAAGGATCACGTCAATCAATTCTCGATCATCACGGAGCTGCTGGGAACTCCGCCCGACGACGTGATCCAGACAATTTGCAGCGAGAATGTGGGTGACAATCGGTCCGAATCCTCCAGCGCCGAAAACTAACTCTTATTGTGATCATTAGACGTTGCGATTCGTCAAGTCGCTACCCAAGCGTGAGCGACAACCTCTGGCCACCAAGTTCAAGAATGCCGATCCAGATGGTACGAATATCATGTCCTCCTTTGCGGTTGAAGGCGAGAGCCTTGCTGACATTTATTAGCGGTCGATCTTCTGGAAAAAATGCTTGTATTTGACCCGAAGAAGCGCATCCGGGCTGGCGAGGCCCTTGCCCACGAGTACCTTGCCCCGTATCACGATCCGACCGACGAGCCTGAGGCTGAGGAGAAGTTCGACTGGTCATTCAACGATGCCGACCTACCTGTGGATACATGGAAGATTATGATGTGGGTTTCATAACGGCACGATGCAGAGGAGAATCCACAATGCTGACAACAAGACAGGTACTCCGAAATCCTGGACTTTCACAACATCGACCAGGGCAACGATGCCGGTCAAGTGCTTGTCGAGGGGGCTGCGGCCGGACAGCAGAGCTTTGCATGAGGAGAGATTCCTGCCTAAAATTACCCTTGACGAGGTGCACGGAATATGATAATGATGTCCTTTCCTTTTATGTTCTCATGGTATGTAGACTGGATGCGGGGATTGTGATATGCACGTTCACGTACTTATGTTCTGGCCACTACATCGCTTGTTCTTTATGCCCCCTTTTTTTTGTTTCTCAATGATCTCCAGGCTGTTACAAAGTCCGGATAATGTTGGAGATTAGAAACGTCTGTAACATGACCCAACTGTTTGGATTTTCCCATTCTGCTATACACTTTACTACATTATTCCGGTCATGATCGACGGAACATTGTTTTGCCTTTCCTTCTCACCAAGTGGTGAATGTTGTTTCCCCCCCTTTTCTTGAGGTGTGCTTGATAGATTTTGCTCAACACTGAAGCAAGTTACCTAATACTCAATGCAATGACTGTATACAACTGATTTGAAACCATTTCAATGATATTATCCACAAGGAACACCCAAAGGAAAGATAAGACATCTGATTGGATTGTTGTCTGTCTCGTATCTGAACTACCTTACTAAATCTATCTTTTACTCCGCTAAAGCAGGAGAACCTAAGCTAACTTAGGGATGGACAAAAATGTTGGGTTTATTTCCTTCCTGGTGTCATATTACTGGGGGGGGGGAGAGGAAGGGGAGTCCTTGCAGTGGGGGGGGGGATCCATCACCGCTCTCTGTCACCGCCGAGGAGGAGGAGGAAGCGGAGGGGCCGCAAGAGGGGGAAAAGCGGAAAGGGAACGGTCCCGTTGAATCTCTTGTCTGGACTCCGGCTCCAAAACCTCCTTTCCCTGGTCGGCTTCAACCCCCTCCCCTCCCCATATTTCTGAGCTATTTACTAGTTGGTCCCTCCACTGGGGGTTTTGTTTTAATTATTATCGACTCGGTAGCACCAAACGCTACTACCAATTTCTTCATTAAAGTGATCTGGGAGGGGATTC